ATATTATCCCACTTTCAAATTCACAGATGACAGCTATACATAGTTCTCGGTAATAATAGGTTAATATTTATCGGATTGAATGGATCAAACAATTTTGTTCTTTTTGTCTGTTTTTCTAATCGAAACGGGAAGTGGATCTGGACAAGGGATAATGATAAAATTTTCATTATATTGCGTTCATGTTTTCTCCAAGAAGCTAGTGTCTAGAGAAGATGACAACATGTGGAAGGAGATTTTTTGCACTTTAAATAAATTTCAACTATGCTGATCTAAGTGGTCGTATTGAGGCGTAAATGTGCACAGAATCTATATTTAGATCCATTGAAAACTTAAGCCAAGTGGTAGTTGGGTAGGTTACCATATGATCGGTTCCGTCCGACTATACTGTTCCTCTCACTGAATCTTCCTACCAAAAATTATAAATATTTGTCAAAAGGTGGACCAGTATTGATATTGTGTAGCTCCCTACGTTAGTAAATTGATTACAGGAAGGATAAAATATTAGGTTGTGCCAAGTTTGGTTCAAATGTGACACTTCGTTCCCATGGTATTACAATTTTGTGGGGAGGTACCACAAGGAGTGGACCGATATTATCCTTATTCGAAGTTTGAATTAACTTTGGAAGAAATATTACGATGTACAAAGTTGGGATTAAATCGTGCGTACTATACGGAAAGACTCCTTATTGTCTTAAACGAGTTTGGTGCAAAGAAATATGGGGTTTAAAACCAATACTTTGAAGAGGCACATTTTTGCCGCCAATCAGGCGACTTGGGTTCTTTAGTGTACCATTTCTATGAAATGGTTTAAAATTATGTATGTGAGCTATATGTAAATTTGGACCGATTTGAGCAAAAGTGGCATACATCATTTGCTATGCTGCACCAGAGCTCTGTCCAAAAGTTAATATCGATCGGTGCACAATTTGTATAAAGGATTATATCTACATCTTAACACACGTCATTCTAGACTCAATTCAATATGTTGTGCAAATTTCATGTATATGAAAGAAAAATAGGCCTTTCGGTGCACCATTTACAGAATGAATTATTTGGATGATAATAAATATGGGAGTTATATCTAAATCTGAACCGATTTCAGCAACTTTTAATACACGTCATTCTAGACTCAATTTGATACGCTATGCTTAATTTTGTATAAATCGAGAAAAATATAGGGATGAAAATATTTATTAACTGATTCATGGTAAAGTGTGTAAACAAAGATGTTTTTTTTTTTGAAACTCCAGGAACTCTGAAGGCCAAATTACAGCACCTTCGGTTGGAAGAACCCGTAATGCCAAATTAAAGTTTCATCAATGGGAAAATGCGGCTAAAATCTACAAAGCAACGAAAATGAGGAGAATATACCAAAACGGGAATATATATCAAAATTGTTCTGCAAAAATGTTGATCATTTTCCAAAAATCGGTAATGACAAAATTCAATCACTTCGATAGGGAAATCCGGCTAAAATCCAAAAAACAAATAAGGCGGTAATTTTATGGGGAGCTATACCAAAAGGTGAACTGACATTGATGACGGTAGGAAGATTTAACATCCAAATGAGAACCTAAAATAATTAAATAAAATAATCTGCAATTACAGTATTGCGAACCCCTAGCTAAGCAGGCATCGGGTTAACAGCCAGACAGTGTGTATCGGTGGTTTTCAAGGGGAACCCCAAGTCCACTGCGAAGAGCTTCCAAAATTGCATTCAACTATAAAGGTTGGAAATTCATTGAAGTGTCAGACAGGATGAAATACCTCGGAATAATCGTTCACGAAAGATTCGACTTCTGTCGCCATGTGGAATATGTGCTTTCAAAAGTCAAAAAGATTAACTTTGCCTATCAAAGGCTATTTCGAATGTGAGGAGGACTTTCTTTGGAGGTAAAGTTGCTAATATGCAATGGAATTTATAGACGTCCGGCTTATAGGAACACCTACAATGCAATCGACTTCAACCGAATCGATGTCTGCATGGTGAAATATGCCCTCAACATCCTGGAAAGGAGCCAGCTTGTAGAAAATGGAATAGTGGAACGATACCTGGAGTGCAACGAGGAACTTTGCAGCTGTGAGACGGAGGAGTCCTATATGATGACGATGGCCGTCTGATGTACTGTCATCGGAGGTACCACAGATTTGACGCCGATATTGAGCATGTATATAGTATAGGTCAATAAACGAAAAATTGTATATAATTTAATTGTAAGTTTAGATTTAAGGTAGTTTTAAGTTAATTTAAGTTTGGCCTATTTTTTTAATTTTTTAAGCATGTGAAGATTTAAAAATATCTGTATAAGTACTAGTTTGTTGAAAGTTTCGTCTAGCATTCCCAATGCGGCGCTAGTCTCCTTCACTGCAGTCTCGTGCACTCATATGTTCAAAATTATTTTATTGCTGTACCTTCATTGTCAAAAATTATAATTTTTATTTCCTCCTTAGTTAGTTAAGTACTGCTCATGGCAAAATAATAATCTTCTCATACATTAAAAAATTTCAAAAGATGGAAAACCGGAAAATTGTTTTGTATTTTTAAAGTCCATCTTTGAACTTGACAGCAAACATAGACCTAATCGAAATTAGGCTTGGAAGTATGTATGAATAAATCAGGAGGCACAACCGACCATGATTAAATCGTAGTTGTGGATCATGCTAATATTAGCAGAAAGGAGTTCGTCGCCGTCGTCTAGGTCAAGTGGGGTTGCTGTCACCATCGTCGGACTGCACTGTGCGTTTTAATTTCTCTAGTTATTGTACCACAAAAAAATTCTTATGACTACCCTGTCCCTCGCTGAATCTATCCCAGGTTGTAGTCATATTTTCCGAGCTGTCATATGGGAAGCATTAAGTACCCCAGAAAATAATCCGATTTATCCGATGATTCATTCTTCGTACAGATGCCCTCGCCTACGCGAATTTGCAAATACAACGCCAACTAACCGAGAAAAATTGTGATGATTTTGGCCTCATACCGATGTGCTTGCAATCTTCTTTAAATTTGACAGACCTCTTTAAATAAAATTGCGAAGATCTTATTGAAAATGTCCTTAGAGACTATGTTTCGTTCTGAAAAACTATGCTTTTTTTATTCTTCATATAAACGAAGCTCATAATCTGTCATAGTTGTCAATTATATTATCTTCTGTTTTGGCATAGCTCGATCGTATTGGTCTTTCAATTTGTTTTTATACCTACTTTCCACCCCATGGAACCAAATAGTTAAGTAAAGTTCCGATGCTACCACATCATTGGCGTTATGTGGCATAAGTATTTCTGTTTCTGGAGGACAAATTTTCGAAATACCCAAAGTGGACTGGCCTTTATGTATGGGAATATGAATGTGTATAAAAATTCGTTATCGTTTCAGAAATCGAAATTCCAAATTACGAAAACCTAACCTACCCTTCACCACACTGTGGTACAGAGTATTATGTCTTTGTGCATATGTTGTAACAGGCAAAAAAATCGAGATAGACCCATGGTTCCTTTTGAGAATATGCATATAATCACTTTCTGAGTCGATTTATGCATGTCCGTCCGTCCATGTATTTTTGTTAACAAAGTACAGGTCGCATTTATGATCCGATTTTGATGAAATTTAGCACAGGTCACTTAATTGGCCCAAGGACGAACCCTATTGATATTGGAGAAAATCGGTCCACGTTTAGGCCTACCTCCCATATAAGGGTTTTGAGGCTATTTAGCGCGTTTTTAACTGAATTCGATGAAATTTGGTACTTTGAGTTCTACTAAAAATTATAGATATAGGTCCAGTTTATCTGGTAGTCTCCATATAACGGTACTCCCAAAAATTTTTGGTATTTTGGGGGTTCTTTTTCGATTTTTTGTATTTTTCGACCGAATTGACTGTAATTTAGTACGTCGAGTTCTTATTAGGAAGCAAATCTCTCCACTATATATTTTAAATATTGGTAAATTTTTTCCGGTAGCCCCCATATAGGGGTACACCCCCCCCCCCCCGCCCCCTTTTACGGTATTTTGGGGTTCTTGAGCGCGTTTTTCAACCAAATTCTTTGTAATTTTGTTTTTTTGTAGTCGTATATGGTAACAAAAATTATTAATATTCGCCCCACACACACAAAAATTGGAGAAAATCGGTTAAGATTTAGACATAGCTCCCATATATATTTTCGTCCGATTTTAACTTATTGATGCACCAAACTCCCAATAGTGATCCGATTGAGACAAAATTTTGCACAGAGTATTGAATTTGTTGAAATCGGTTCAGATTTAGATATAGCTCCGATTTATAGTTTCGTCCGATTTAATGTAAATAGTGCACCAAACTCCCAATAGTGGTCCGACTAAAGCAAAATTTTGCACAGAGTACTGAATTAGGTCCCGACTGATGTATGTGAAATTTTGTCGGAATTGGTTAAGTTTTAGATATAGCAGCTATATATAGTTTCGTCCTATTTTATGTAAATGAAGCTCCATACTGTCAATATTTATCCGATTGAGACAACATTTTGCACAGAGTACTGAATTAGGTCCGGACTGATGTATGCGAAATTTCTATATCTACAGGATATTGTACATATTAACATGTCTTGCATGTACCCATAGTGGTGAAGGGTATCATATAGTCGGCCCCTCCGACTTTTGAACTTTTCTTACTGGTTTACATTATAAAAACCCTATTACCACTTCGTTTGAAAATACGGATATAACCTTTAAAATATCGAAATTGGCGTGAAACCAATATATCGACCTTTATTGTGAGGGTATATCTAATTCGAACTCTGGAAATTAATTCCCATCACTCCAAACACGATTCCACTTTTTCTTAATTTTATTGCTTTTAAAATCGCTATGCTATTCCCTTTTATGGTTTTAATATTTAATATTCTGGCAAAAAGTGACCCTCCCGTATGTGTGTGTTTGTTTGCTTTTGTGATTGTGTGTTTCAGTGTATGTATGTATATTCCCTAACGTACAAAATACTTATATAACTACTTGCATTTTTTATTTTGTGGTTTGTTTCCTTAGGCTTAGGATTAGACTTTTTGTATGTAGGCGAATGTTTGTTATTGTGTTGCTTCCTTCCCTCCTCTCTCTCCCACGAACAACTTACGATACAATATTTTTATAGTAGGATGGTTTCTTTTGATTCTCTTTAATGACATAAAATCCTTTCGGTTTGCCATTGCCCGAGAAATATTTATTGAAACTATTCTTGTTGACGGTATTGGCCGGGGCGTAATACGATGGCGATTTACGTTTCATCGATTTTTTATAGCTCATCATTGAGTCGTGATGATGATGGTGATAGGATTTCTCAATCGATTCATTTTCCCATGGTTTGGACCAGGTCGGTATATTATGGATATCAATCAGTTGTTGGATTTTATTCGGCTCCACATTGGCCACACTGGGGAAACGTTGTTGTTTCTCTTCGAGAATTTTTTTAATTACCGGCAAATTCCAATGGTAGATACGTCCCGGCTTGCCATTCGAAGGGAAGGCGAAGGAGACCTGAAACGGAAAATGAAGAAGATAATAAAAGGATTATTAAAACAAAGTCAAAGATTACCATAAAAAAATAAAGAAAGATGCATTTCAAAGCATGTTGCAGAAAAAACGGGGGAGACAATAAATGTCATGGCTAAATTAAGCAGAGGAATGACAAAATTTTTGCCATTTACTGGCTGTTTAAAATTTATTATGTTCGAGTTCAAATGCTAATTAGCAGCATGTTATATCTTGTTGTTGCAATTTCCCCTTAAGCTTTCGGTGGCAGTGATGTTGGTGTTGCACAATTACAAAACGCCACCACCACCACCACTATTATCAACATCACTGTGCCACATGTAGCTTATCTGCATGTGGGGTTGCAGCAACAATTACTTGCGGCAATCCGTTGAGCATCATACACTTGACATCATGCCATTTCCCTCTGCTTGCCATTGCAATGTTGTTGTTTTTCAATTTTGGTCTATTTGACGCATCAATACGGCATTCATGCATTTAAATTTATGGGGACACCACTCCAAGCAATGCAACCACATCATCATTATCATCATAGGAATACCATTTGTTGTGACTTATTTTGCTGTGAACATGTTTAAATGGCAAAACAGGAGTTAATTCACAAATGGACTAACATCGATCATTTGTAGCCAAATTACAAGCGTTCGAATGCATTTCGAGATAACAGTAAAGGAAATTAATGGATGCTATTTATAGATAAACTATTTCAGATTTAGAGCGGATCATTAGCTTAAACAAGATTCTGAAAATTAATTAAAACAAGTAAATAAGTGTTAATCTGTGTTGCCGGCAGATATATACCCTCAACCTATGGTTTTCGGACGGCTTCAGAGTTACACACAGGTTTGATTATTCGCTTTATATAAGGATTATGTTCTTATCAAAGAGGTTTCGGATTTAATGTTGATCAAATTAAAGTTTATATAAAAATTTATATAATATAGACCCTTTTTGGGGGTGGTGCCAGAGGAAAGGGCAACCGGATCCCATCTTCAAATCTAACTATAATGAAATGGAAAACAACCTTTTACAACCTGATATCCAATTTTAAAATAACGACAGTCAGGCGGAACTTTTAAATGACATCTATGTTAAACATTCCGCAAGCAATTAATCAATGAGAAGAGGGAATAGAAGCCCCCATCCCTAATGTCCAAATGCCGTCTTTTATTAATCAAGGGTAAGAAGAAAAGAACATTAAATTATTATTTTTTTTTTGAATAAAACATTCAATAATTTTCCGAATTTCGAAACATCCGATAAATTTCCGAATTTAAAATAAATATAATCCATAATATTCCAATTTTTTGAGAATTTCTGAAAAAAGTATCCGAAAACGTTATTATTTTCGAATGCTCCTTCAGAATTTTTTACGAAATTGTGGAAATAATCGAAATCCCATTTGTTGTACACGACTTTCTTGGCGCTTCGCTTAGAATTTGCAAAGAAATTCTAATGTTCCTTCCAATTTTTTTTTCAATAAAACTTTCCGACTTCGTAGGCAACTTCACCTACGGCATCAGAATCTGAAACTTGGTACACCATCTAAATCTTACCCGATTTCTACAAAACTTGACCAATGTTCAGTATGCTGAATCCGAATCGTGCCAATCCGATAAATATGGGAACATTGTTAAAATAATTTATATCTAAATCTGACACGAATTCTGAAAAACTTGGGACACGCTCTGCTAAACTAACTTCAGTACGCTGGGCAAAATTTTGTGACAATCTAACAAGCCCTGGATTTTTGGTGCACAATTTACATAAGATATATATGGGATCTATATAAAAATCTGAACCGATTTCAATAAAATTTATCAAACATCAATCGTTATGATGTGCAAAATTTTGCATTGCAACTGGGTTTAACTATTGCGGAATCGGACTATCCCATATATGGGACCTATATCTAAATCTGAACTGTTTTTCACCAATTTCAATAGGGTTCGTCCTAATAAACTGTGCCAAATTTCATATCAGTCGGATCATAAATGCGACCTGTACTATGTGTATAATTTTACATGGACATACGGATAGACATACATGCATAACGCAGCATGATTTTTAGAGATTTCGTCAACCATCGTTTCAGAGTCAATTTCAATCGTTGTGAACTACGGTTAGCTGAAAGGAAATTTGGGGGGGTCATTACCGCTGCAGCCTCTATATTTATTTCTGCTGGTCGAAACCGTGAAATAAGACACATAATTTCCCAGCAGAGACAATTGGACTAGGAACTCGCATCGCAAATTAATCGCGCAGCATAAATGGAATAAATGGTGAGATAATCAGAAGTGTTGGAAAATCGAAGCCGATATGATTAAACTGTGGGCAACGGCTATTTCGCCCTGGAACCTTGGCAAGAAGAATGATAGGACCTCACACACATTTGACGACGAAACTGTGACCGATCCGAAGATATGCGCCATTTATTTTTACCGTCAGTTTGTCAAGCATTCCTAGAGGTCAAAGAGAAAATTTTAACGTCTACTCATTAGATATAAATATGATTGTACGCTCATATAGGTGGGGGTTCTATTGTCAAGGACATATCGCTCATTTGCTGAAAGGCTGGCATAAATCACAAATCATGATTTTTGACAATTGTTCGCTACATATAAGGTATTATGTTCTGTAAAATAATGCATTTGAATGAATCGTACACACTGAGTAACTGTGAGTAAACTGAGAAATTAAAACGCAGCTATGCGTTTTAAAGGGTATTATTGCATTGTTTGGCACCACGATTTTATAACAACGCAAAATGGTCTTAGACCCACATTTTAGTATATCGTTCGTCATATACTCGACTAGTTGAGTCGATCTAGATATGTATGTCCGTCTGTCCATTAGTAATTAGTAAACACGACACAGGTCACTGTTCTGGACTAATAGTAAATCCAGGCGGAGTTGTTGACTTCTAAATTGATACCACCCTGTAGGAAATGTCTACAGTAAATCACTACAGACTTGCTATTGACATTGTCACCAACACTATTGACCGACTACTATACGCAACTCAATGCATTTTACTAATGACATTTAACATGTGCTTGTCATTGAGAATGAACTAGCGACATGGTCAGTAGTAAGTCAGTGGTGGCACTGCTCGTCCCACAAGTCGACATCCAGCAGCTCTGAATGTAATGCTGAACTTAAGGCCCCTGTGTCTCAGTATTAAGTGTCAGGCAGCGCATAGTGCCCTAAGGCTGCATGAACAAAATCTATGGCGAAATTGTGCCTACGGGAATGGTTGTATCCTAAACGAACTAGATATGCCATTGGACTAACGCGTAAAACTAAGCGACTGTATGTCAGCAGTCCTGAAATATAGATGTCGTTATCCCTAGTAGAGACGACAGGAACCGTAGCAACGCTCATCTGGATGGTCTGGCTTTTTATACATACGGATCCAAGATGGAAGAATGTACGGGGCTGGTGTCTACTGTGAAAGGCTAGGTTTTGCTCTTACATACAAAGTGGATAGCAACTGTAGTGTTTTAAGCTGAAATCTTCGCTATTTGGAAGGCAGCGGAATCCATAAAAGGTCTGGATGCACAGGTCGTTGAACCGGTGACTATATTTGTGGTTAGTCAGGCGGCTCTTAAAGCCATCAAATCCTGTAATATCAAATCTGAGGTCGTCCTCGAGTGTAGAGGAGTTTCGGAAACACTTACTTACAGCTATCGGCTGTGTTGGGTACCAGGACACCGTGACATCATGGGTAATGACGTGGATCTCAATCTACAGATATAGCAATCGATTGCTCAATCAAACCACTTATCTGTCATCTTTTTCGGAACTTTGAGGCGTTATTCGGCGAATGAGCCAATGAACTCTGACACAATGAACCTATGAGCAATATGTCAATACCTATCTGGTTAACATACGTAAGCATATTTATATGAGTAACGCTGAAAAGAACAATGTCCGCAATCGCTTGGGTCTTACGGGACCGACTATATGATACCCTTCACCACTATGGGTACATGCAAGACATGTTGATACCTACAATATCCTGTAGATATAGAAATTTCGCATACATAAGTTGGGACCTAATTCAGTACTCTGTGCAAAATTTTGTCTCAATCGGATAAATTTGGGCAGTATGGAGCTTCATTTACATAAAATGGGACGAAACTATATATAGCAGCTATATCTAAATCTGAACCGATTCCAACAAAATTTCACATACATCAGTCGGGACCTAATTCAGTACTCTGTGCAAAATTTTGCTTTAGTCGGACAACTATTGGGAATTTGGTGCACTATTTACATTAAATCGGACGAAACTATAAATCGGAGCTATATCCTATTTCAACAAAACATGGCATTTAACTATCTAGACCTAATTTTGTCTCAATTGGACCACTATTTAATTTTGTCTCAATCGGATCACTATTGGGAGTTTGGTGCATCAATAAGTTAAAATCGGACGAAAATATATATGGGAGCTATATCTAAATCTGAACCGATTTTCTCCAATTTCAATAGGGTTCGTTCTTGGGCCAATTAAGTGACCTGTGCCAAATTTCATCCAAATTGGATCCTAAATGCGAACTGTACTTTGCTAACAAAAATACATGGACGAACGGACGGACATGCATAAATCGACTCAGAAAGTGATTCTATGCATATTCTCAAAAGGAACCATGGGTCTATCTCGATTATTTTTGCCTGTTACAAACATATGCACAAAGACATAATACCCTGTACCACAGTGTGGTGAAGGGTATAAGTATACCGATGTTGACGTGCTTTTTGGTTTAGGCTATTCTAGACATTTTGGGTTTTGGTTTCAGTGTCATAGCCATATAACTATGATTCGTCACCATGGTGACGAACTGTAGACAAATAACATTTTTGGTATTTCCTATAACCAAATAGATTAATTACCGTGTCCCTTGATGGAGGTATAACAATACATAACGACTCTAAACAACTTTCTACATAGTTATCTCAAACCTAGGTTAAATTGCACG